CTACCTCCAAAGATTATTCTTCTAAAAAAACAATGAAATCTAAAAGTCTAAAAGTCTAAACGTAAAAGACTATAAGAAATTTGAGTTTTATTCCGTGGAAATTTACTAAAGCACCTAGTGGATATAGGTATGGACACACAATGCACGATTGATTTGTCTAGCGTTGACGCTGATTGTATCACCAATTACTACGGGGAGAACCTTTTCAACAATGAAACATATGAAAACTTATTTATGCAACAAAACGAGCAATGAATTTCTCGCCGATTGCTCAAGTATTTTATTTAAAACAGTGTATACTATTGGTATGGATGTAGACTTCATTATTGATGTATTCGCTAAATTAAAATACCATCGTGTACAATTTATATTGTAAAAAAACTATAATATTTTTTTACAATTCTAATTTTCTAATGAAATGCGGCCCAGTGCTCTTCTGTGTTCTGGATTCGCCGCTGATTAAACCTCAAACCCCTTGTTTGACCGGCTCAATGACTTAAACCGGTTTGACAACCTTGGTGTAGGGGCGGCTGGAGGTCAGTCGGTTTTGGTTTAACCAAAAACTGAATATTCGATGATCAGTTAGCCACATGATTAACTGACTACCGATCGGTTGGTTATCGATTTTTTGTTCAGTTAGTCGTGCAATCGAAATATTGCTGGCAGGTTCGGTTTTAGTCGGGGAACTGACCGGTAACGGACCCGACAACAGCTCCACATGCATAAAAAATCAGTAAAATTGCCTAAAACTAATAAAGTTCTTGGTTGGCTATTCTCTCTTTCTGAAATTCTATCAAAGAGCTTATTCTTGCAACCTCAAACTCTTTCTTCCCGACTGGGTAACGATATGCCTCTGGGCTAAGTCCATCTTAATGAAATAGAATATCCTTGCTTAGCTCGCGGCTTTCTCCGGGCTCAAACCTAATTGCTACATTTAAATCACTCAAAGTAAAGTCTCAATCCCTTTTGCATAAAAAAATACATCTAAATCACCAGAATTAATATCTCAAATTCAACAACATAAAGTCAAAAACTCCACAATTCACAATAGATCCAAATAGCAACAATAAGTCAACAGCAAATCATCATCATTCATCACTTATCAACACCAGAAGAAGAACCAACATCTGCAAAACCCTTTTCTTTCAATCGGCCCAACAAGTAATGACCATAATCGTCATATCCATCTTGATCATACTCTTCCTCGGACACTTCTTCTTCACCCTCCTACTCATCCTCCATTGGAATGTTGAGACTTGCATATGCATTGGCAACATTGCCGGTATCACTTGTACTTTCCATTCTAGACTGGAAAGTGTAACTGAGTAAGAAAAATGAAAACAAAGTGTTAGGATATTCATACATTGAATTAGGTGGAAAGAAATAGAGAAAATCTGAAACAACAAGTAATTTTAGAACTCACCACTTTCCAAATTCAAATTCTCTTCATTATCTTCCTTCTCGTCAATCTCTCCGGATCCGGTAGTTGGATAATTTATCCAATCTCAACACAAATCAATGCCCCCACCATTGTATCGCTCAAAGAGGACCTGAATGGACCGAGAATCCGACCGCCACAGCTGAATGTTGCCTCTAAGGCAACAAAGTGATGTGAACATCTAGGATATCCCTAGCCATCTAAGCAAGAATCAGATATATTCCAGAGTGCCGAGACCACCAACCCAAGATGTCAAACTTGGCATCATCACTCTCCTCATTGATGCCATCAGTTACAGAGCTACCTCTTGTCTCCTACAGAAGTGCTTCACTTTTCCTCTTCCTGAGCCTCTCCTCAAACTTCTTAATCCTATCACCAACGCCTTCAGCATAACTACCACCAACAATGCTATCATCAGTGGTAGACTCAGATGGAGAGGAGGGGTGATTTTGATCCATACTTCCCTTTGTAAACCTCAAACATCTGGCGCATCTCCGAAGTAATGGAGCTCACAATTTCTTTTCCCTTCAATCTCCCATAAATCATTTCCAAAAACTCGGGTACCATATCAAGTTTACTTCTAGGATCAAGCACACATGCTATATAAATTAAGTTCACCTTCATGTTCTCCTCACCAATAACAAGACTCTCAAATCAATACTTCTGTACATTTTCTCAACCTTTTCTGCCACCATGTGAATCTCTTCATTTGCATCATTCTTCAATTCCTCAATGATGTCATAGATTGGAACAAGCTTCTTGAAGAAGAAATGGGTAGTCATATATTTAGTTCCTATACAATGAGAAGAAAGCACGGAAAATTAGAGTTAAACAAACAAGATGGTCAAACTAAATAAAACATATTTAGTTCCATATACTCGACACTAGGAGGGTCAAGTCATTGAAAACTTTCAGATACTTCATCAACTTCCTAATTAGCTGCCAATCTTGTTCATTTGGAAGACCACATCTTGAGTCAACATCAATGTAGTCAAAATCGCGCTTTAAAACTTAAAAACTTAAGATTTTACGTTTCTAGGTCACTAAAACGCTTCTACACAAAATCTCAGTTTTTATAACCTATGTAGTTAAAAACTCCGCTTTAAAACTTAAAAACTTACGATTTTACGCTTCTAGATCACCAAAACGTTTCTACGTAGAATCTCGCTTTTGACTACATTGGTCAACATAATCTCTAAAGGAATGATCTTGTGGACTTGAATACAAAGTTGAAAACACTCCATCAAACCTTTATGCTGACTCTAACATGATATAGGTGGAGTTCCACCTGGTCGCTACATCCAAAGAAACCAATTTAGTTGAATTCACCTTCAGAAATTGCTTGGCAATCTTGAACCTTGTCAACGTAGCTGGTGATGACTTCACCCACTTCACATAGTCCCAAACTCTATCCACAACACCTCCTATCACATTCAGTCCATCTTTCACCACCAGATTAATGATGTGTGCCACACATCGACAGTGTAGATACTTCCCATCCATTAAATCACACTCCCACTCCTTTAGCTTCGTTCTCATGCAATCACTGAGAACATCATTTGAAGTTGCATGTCCATGGTCATGCATAACAGATAACCTTCCATTCTTCAAGAACTCCTGCAAACTTCTCTGCAATATTCTTTCCAGTGTGACTTGTGATGGGAAACAAAGGATAATATCTTCTTCTGCAACTTACAATCACTTCCAATAAAGTGAGCAGTCACACACAAAACCCCATCCGCGGATGCCACCCGCTCGCTAGGGGTGAACAAACACACCCACAAACCGACCCACCCGTCCAACCCGATTCAACCCACCCGTATTTATCGCTAAAATGAAAGTTTTGGGTTGGGTGAGGGTTTTCTTTTGTACAACCCGTCTCCTTTGGGTTGGGTTTGGATATTGGATTACACAACCCGTAGAACCCGACCCAACCCGTGTTCCAACTATTAGTATGAGTTCGGATCTAAAAAATATTTATGTCGTATATAGTCATATACTTATGAGAAAATTAAGATATTTCGGCATGTTTTTCTCTCATGGTCTCCCTAATCTAATGCATTCTTCGACTTAAAGTTTAGACATAAATTAAATATAGTTATGATTCACGTAATCCTTTTTCTTGTGTACAATTTTAATAGAATAACATATTATGGGTGCGTTGGTTTATAACAATATTGTGAAAAAAATAAGACATATGTTGAATTAGATCACATTTTATTAAAATTCAAACAACATTTGTGAATTTTGATACCTTTCACCTCGGTTCATTCGTTTGAAATTTTAATTAGTTATAAAAATATTTTTATGATATAGAATAATTATATATTTTATGTTGGGTTGGGTTTTTACTTAAAAATATCGCCAACCCGACCCAACCCAATTAGAAACAAACCGTAGGGTTGAATTTTTTTTGGGTGGGTTTGGGTTTGATATTTCTCAAACCGTAATGCATGATTCGGGTGATTAAAATTACTAAACCCGAACCACCCGACCCATGTACACTCCTACCGCTCGCACACGCCACTGCTTCTCCAAAATCCCCTCTTCCCTGCCGCATAACCCGTTCCCTTCCTCCCTCCTCGACCCGTCGACGCTGGTGAATGATGAGGTGGACGGGAGGTTGTGCGTGTGGACGAAACGGATATGATAAATCAATCTTATTATTTACTTATATAATTTAATTAATTTTATTAAATAATTACTATAATAAATCATATACACAAAGTAAGTGAAATGATGAGGTGGACAAATAAATTATTTTTTATTTTTTTAATTTCCACGTCCGTCATCTAGTTAACGGTCAAACCTTATAGTTGACTGCCACATAGGACAAATCTGACGGAGTGTAACGCTCGGTGACTAACGATGAAACGATTCGTAAAGTTAGTGACAAATAAGAAAGAAAAGTAATTTGGGTGGCAAAAGTGAAAGATTTGTTTAATTCAAGTGACCAAACGTATAATTTAGCCCTTACTATTCACACTATTTGCAACCCCCTACTTTTTCATCCAAACAATAATTTACCCATCCACTTACACACTCCACCAATTTGCACCATCTTATAATTGGGTTAATTGCATGGTTGGTCACTGACCATGCAATTAACCCTCTTATAGATTAAATTTAATTTAATTTATTATTTATTAATTACCACGTCACTAAGTTAACGGTCAACTTTGAGAATTGACTGCCACATCAGCCAAACTTAACGGAGTTGGACGAAGAGTGACCAAACGTGAACGGTTTCAGTAAACTAAAGTACTACCAATGGATTTAAATATTTCGAGTGACCAAACTTGAACGTTTTTTGTAATCTCAGTGACTAACCATGCAATTAACCCTCTTATAATTTATCCCTCAACTTATACTCTTTCGAATTTGCACCTCCCTTATTGCCAAATATAGTGTTAAAGACAACTTTGTTAAAAGGAAAGTTTAATGACTGTTTTGTTAGTACACTCAAGTATAGTGATCATTTCTGTACTTGACCCGTCCGATTCGTTTCGTTGAGCCTACGAAACAGAATAACACTAGAATTTATATTTTGCCGAAACAGAAAGGGAAAAACAGAAGAAGAGAAGCTGAAGTTGAAGAGAGAGCAAGCGGAGAGGGTTTACAATTTTCCCTTTCGTCTTCAAGACTTGCTCTCTGCCATCGGCGAAAACACCAGATTCTCCGCCATCGCCATGAGTGCTCTACAGTACCTCGAATCTCAGCGCAACGCGCAACCTGAGCTCGCCGAGTGGTACAATTCCCTCGCGGATCTGTACCAGAAGAAGCTATGGCATCAGCTCACTCTCAAGCTCGAGCAATTCGTTGCTCTCGCCGTCTTCCAGGTTTGATTTCCGCCGCCATTCATTCCGAACCCACATTCGCCCGATTGAATTCTGCGTTGCTATGTGTCTGTGACTGTTCCGCTGCATTTTTCTTTCTTCAATCCGGCGTTTGGAACTTAGTGTAAGCCGGTTAGGTTTGCAGATCTCCTTGTAGGACTTGTTGCCCTATTTGCTTGCTGCATATTTCTGGTTGGGGGTTGTTTAGGGTTCTTCATTCTCTGCTCGAGTGGACTAGTGAGCATCTCGTGTTTGATGAGTTGAATGTGGCGCTAGCTGATTGAGTGTTTCTTAATTGAGGATTGTGCTCTGAGGTTGAAGCTACTGAGTCGAATTGGTCTCTGAACTTGAGCCGAAGTGGGTTTCATGTCCCTTGGGATTATTTATCTTTGTTAGGGCTGTGGCTACTGATTCATTTGCCAATACATTGATGCATTGTTGCCTCTTCAAAATGGCAGGCTGGTGATGCTCTCATACAGCTATATCACAACTTCATCACCGATTTTGAGACGAAGATCAATCTCCTTAAGCTTGCCCACTTCGCAGTGGTAGTTTCCCGGCAGTATCAGGAGAAAGAGGCTGCCATTGGGTATCTTGATGGCGTGATTGAAAAGCTCCAGGCTACTAGGGAGCAACGTATAGAGGAACCGGTACTTTATATCAAGATGCAGGTAGCCATATTCAAGCTTGAGCAAGGCGATCAGAAAGAGTGCAAGAAGCTTCTAGAAGATGGGAAGAGTACACTGGACAGCATGACTGACATCGATCCCTCAGTGTATGCCAGTTATTATTGGGTTTCATCTCAGTTCCATAAATATCGCCAAGACTTTGCTGATTTCTACAGAAGTGCACTTCTGTATTTGGCGTACACATCAGTGGAGTCCCTCTCAGATTCATTCAAGCTGGTATGTTCTCTTAACTTACCTTGTTGCTGGTATATAATCACTTAATTCAGTTGATCCTTTAACCAACCTTTTAATTGTTCTTTGATATCAAGACTCGAGAATTCCAATACTCGGGATCCGGTGCTAGCTTTGGAGTAGAAATAGTGTTTTAAGATTTGTATATCCGTTCTTGTCTAACTGACTCCTAATTATATCGCATAATAATATGATTAGACCAACTGAAAACTTCTGCCAAGTATTCATTGCATCTCCAGGAAAGTTAATTCATATAGACCAATATATATTGCTGATTGTGGTGTAGAGAATTGTGCTAATGTCTGTAACTTAGTGCGAGTTGCTAGTCTATTTCTTCAACCTTGTGGACTCTATTGAATGTGACTCCAATAAGGTGTCCAGGTACCTTATTAATTTCAAACATACATGTTGATTAGTAGTTCTTAAGCACTCAGATCTATTTTATAGTCCTTGAAGGGGTCTTTAGATAAACTTTCTTTGACATTAGCTGATGGTTAAGCTACCATAAACTGATTGATTGGTGATGGTTTCAAGCTTCTGTGTTAAACTCACTCTTGTAAGTAAATAAGTTGCATAGAATAGTTTTGTTTGTATCAACTGTGAATTGTCTCTTTGTACAGATCATTCTTTTTACTTTTGAAGCATATACAAGGGAGTTTAACAGTCTTTAATTTGAGACTATGTTACAGTTCAGCTTCTTGTAAGAACGAAAATTTATTAATTTGAATATGATGACTTTTATAACCCACTTTTTGCTTTTGTGAGTAACATAAACATGTCCAGCTGTAGGCAATCTGGATATTTGAAGCTCTAATACTTGTAATACAGAATTAGTTAGGAACTAGATTGATTCAGTGGTTGCATTAGTAATTCATTTTTTTCATGAAATTATTGGTTTCTGGTTCAAATTTGTCATCCATTTTATAAGTTACTTGATTGGTTGTTGTTGGTGCTAACTTTTTATCCTATCCTCTTGTAGGATTTGGCATTTGATCTGTCTCTTTCGGCGCTTCTGGGAGATAATATCTACAACTTTGGAGAGCTGCTTGCACATCCTATTGTAAGAGTTTTAACTCGAGTTTCCGAGAGTTGCAAAAGTTAATCAGTGTTTTCCAGTCCCCACTTAGAAAGCTATGATAAGATTTCCATTTCCTTCGAACAATAGTCGTCTCCTTAGAAATAAAATTCTGAGTTGAATGTAACAGATAGGTTTGGCTTCTCTATTAAATTAGAATAACCTGCGATTGTTCAACAGTAGGTGGAAGTTGTTCTTTATGTTTCCATTTGTTGTCCGTGGCTCTGGTTTTTTCCGCTTTTCTCTCCCTTATTTGTTTTCTGGATCTCCTGAATATTGCTGCAGATAAAGAGTCTGCTTGGCACACAAGTGGAGTGGCTCTACTATATTCTCCAAGCATTTAATGCTGGTGATTTAGTTCGGTATCAAGAACTATGGCATGTGCATGAGTCTGCCCTAAAATCTCAACCAGCGTTAGTTGAAAACAAGAACAAGCTACTGGAAAAGATCAACATTCTGTGCCTTATGGAAATTATCTTTAGGTATATCAATATGCTGGCTTTACTTTCACCGGGGTTTTTCGTGTCGGGTAATTTTGATGCTACATAGCTACTTTCCCTGATTGCTATTTTCTATGTCATCTTTGCAGCCGTCCATCTGAAGATCGAACCATTCCATTAAAGGTCATTGCTGGGCGCACAAACCTCTCAATAGAAGAGGTGGAACATCTTCTGATGAAGAGCCTCTCTGTAAGTTCCTTCTTTTTTCCTCTTCTTTGATATCCAAACATCGAGGAATATATATTTAAATATCCATACATTATAGGTGTTATCTTGGCACTCCCCCCCCCAATTGGTCTCTTACATGTGCATGCCTCTTTAACTCGAAGGCATTCTGCCATTGGTTGGGAAATTTCAGGACACTGGATTAGTTAGGTGATTTCAACATTGTATTTTGCATTGATGAGCCGGATTTCTTAATTTGCAGGTCCATCTGATCGAGGGTATAATTGACCAAGTGGAAGGGACAGTATACGTGTCATGGGTGCAGCCGCGAGTTCTGGGGATTCCACAAATCACGTCGTTGAGAGATCGGCTGGACGGCTGGTTGGGTAAAGTGCACACAGCGTTGTTGTCCATCGAAGCTGAAACGCCTGATCTGGTTGCTTCATAAATCCATAGGGCACACCGTTTTCTCTTCTAGGGGAGGTCTGTTTGATTTGCAATGGTCCCATTTGTACGTACTTGATAGTGTGCACCGAGGAAAGGGAGAGACTAGTGGTAAGTTTTGCTTTGCCTGGACAGGGACAGGGCAACTGTATACGGTTTCCTTTTTTGGACAATCCTCTTGCACCTTTGTCTCACGAAAAACTGCGGCGATCGCCTCTGTGTGTGGCCTTTCGAACTTCAACTTACGTTTATCAGCGGCTTCGTATGTGTGGTGGGAAGAGTAGAGTAGAGGACATTAGAACAGATGACATCGTCTCTTCTACTTCTGCAGAGGTGGTTGTTACCCAAATTAGCATTTCCATTTCGTTTTGAAACATTTGGAGGATACTGCTTTACTGTCTAATCTTTACATTCACGAGCTTTCGTCTGTGTGATTATGTCGCATTTGCAATTCTTCTAGGCAAGTTCCGGTAATATGCATCGTCTTTTCGCTAAGTTGTTCGAGAACACAATACGGACATAGCTATGCAAAATACAATGGCTGTGCTGTAGATCTACTTTCGCCTGCCAGCGTTCTTGCTCGTGTATTGAGGAATAATCTTCTGCTATCCCCAAGATCTCAGAGCTTCTGAACTTTGAACTCGAAACATAGATCAAATTTCAAATATGTACAGAAAACGTATCCTCGTAAGAGTCACGATGCAAGTTACTGAGTTCTGAAAATCTTACCGAGAATCGCATCGTAATGACTCATGCGAGTATGTTACTGTTACACACGAGATGGCCCGACGCGGTTCGAATATCAGACTTGTAATACAAGAAAAGTAGAGGTCCAAAATGAGAATTGCGTGGTTGAATAGAAAGAATCACTATATAATTAAAGGTTGAGGCATCATTTGAAGACTGAAATTATGAAACTTTTAGTACCCAGAGCTGGAGTAGTTTGACTAGTTACCACTAAGACAGTAGTATACTATTGCAGCAGCTACCCAACTACAACTGTCTCACGGTGTTTCTTACGAGCTATAAAATAAAGTGGCCCTGCAAAAGGCGGGCGACAGTCCTCGTCGCTCTGCTCCTTTTCTGCGCCGATCAACTGTTTCCCTCTTCACAACGAATCCGGAGGCCGAGACAGCTAATTCAGGGGGAAATTCAGATTAGGCTGAAGAAGATGGCCGTGTAAGCTCATTTTTTTCTCTCTTTCTGCTTAATGTTTGCGACCATTGCGATCGCTTCCGATACGATTCGATGCCTGTCATGGTGATGCAGAGTTGCTTCTGCTCCCGGGAAAGTGTTGCTGACTGGCGGCTACTTGATACTGGAGAGGCCCAATGCCGGGATCGTGCTGAGCACTAACGCTAGATTCTACGCCATTGTTAAACCTCTCTTCGATCACCTCAGCCCTGAGAGCTGGGCCTGGGTGAGTTCCCGCTTCGATGCTGTTTCTCTCGGGGGTTTTCTTTCTTTCAAATTCTGGGATTTCTGAACTGAAATCGACTGGCCGGCGATGCAATTTGATTCTCTCAACGCTGAACTGATTGCCGTTAACTGGATTTTTTTTTTCTAGTTTCCAATTTCAGTCACTTCTGATCCTCTTCAGTGTTCATTCCGATCCTGTTCAATGCTCGTTCTGAACCCTTTTTTTTTTTGTTGTTGCTAGGGTTGGTCTGATGTCAAGCTGACTTCTCCCCAGCTCAATAGGGAGAGCATGTACAAGTTGTCTCTTAAGAATTTTAATCTTCAGCGAGTCTCCTCCAGGCAAGTCCTTTTGGAGTCTCTTCCTGGATGTCAGTAGTGGTTCAAGCTTATCTAGGAAAGAAGTATTGACGTGGATTTGTTGGTATTAGGAAGTATTGAGATGGAAATTTGATTTAATGGATGCTCTGCTGTTTCCAATTTTAGTGACTCGGGAAATCCGTTTGTTGAACATGCGGTAGAATATGCTGTTGCGGCTGCAAATGCTACCTTTGATAGAAGTAAGAAGGATGCCTTAGACAAGCTACTTTTGCAAGGTAAAGAAGAGGCTTGAGAATCCTGGATGTTTTCCTGTTCACGTCCCGTCTTACTTTCGAAACACTGGGAGAATTTGTGATCTTGAGAATATAAGTGTGGAATTTGATTGTCTATGTAGGTCTTGATATCACAATTTTGGGTGGTAATGACTTTTATTCATACCGAAGCCAGGTATTCGTTCCATTCTCGGTTTGTGGTGTAGATTTATCTCATTTCTATGCATAGCCTCTCAAAGAATCTTTCCCCTTTTCACGGCCTAGCCAACATTCGTCCTTATTTTTCAGCTCTTTCTGCTTCAATGGTTCTATTCTCTCTATGGAATGACCTGATTGCTTGGGTTTCAGATAGAAGCACATGGTCTCCCTTTGACATCAGAATCACTGGCGTCACTCCCTCCTTTCAAGTCTATCACTTTTAACGCTGATGAGAATGCAAGTGGTCAACAGTGTAAGCCTGAAGTTGCAAAGACAGGTCTGGGCTCATCTGCAGCAATGACCACTGCTGTGGTTGCTGCTCTACTCAAGTACTTTGGACTAGTCGATCTTTCTACCTCCAGCTATAACGAAACTGAAGATCTTGATCTGGTTCATATCATAGCTCAAAGTGCTCACTGTATTGCCCAAGGCAAAGTTGGCAGTGGGTTTGATGTCAGTTCTGCAGTTTACGGTAGCCAGAGATATGTCCGCTTTTCACCCTCTGTGCTTTCATCTGCCCAGGTTTCTCTCCCCCACCAAACAGGATGAACATGTTTTGTTCTGTATTTTACAATGGTATTCCTTGATTTCCAATGAGACTCTCCATCTTAATTTTAAATCTGTCTTGTAGGATGCAGTGAGAGGAATGCCATTACAGGAAGTCATAGTCGATATTCTGAGAGGAAATTGGGACCACGAGAGGACTAAGTTCTCTTTGCCTCCGTTGATGACCTTGGTAAAGTATTTCAGACATATACATTTGTGCATGCACATGTGAACTGTATTTTCAGACATACCGTTTTTGGTGCTCTTTGTATTTATGCACTTGTGAACTAGAACTGTATTTTCAGATAGAATGATTGGACTATCATACAAATATAGTGATACCAATCCTTTATCGATGAACTAGGAAACCCTCTCATACAGAATACCTGTAATTCACTCCTTCAATCCCCATCTTTGGCTCTCCCTGTTGATTCTTGCATTCATGGCAATCTCTAGGGTGTCATATGGCAAAGTAGTTCAGTCTGGATGCTTATGCATCTGGCGGCTTAGTAAATGTTGATTGTATTAACCTTCAAAATGATCATTGTGATTCTTTTGTGAAGTTACTTGGGGAACCAGGAGTTGGAGGATCATCCACACCATCAATGGTAGGTGCAGTAAAAAAGTGGCAGAAAGCTGATCCACAGAAGTCTCAAGAAACATGGAGGATATTGTCAGCAGCAAATTCAGCGCTGGAAACACAACTTAAAGCTTTAAGCCAACTTGCAGAAGAGCATTGGATTTCATATAAATCGGTGATAGACAGCTGCAGCACAACAAAGACTGACAAGGTATCCCAGCAGCTTGCTTTGGCATTTCATTTACAAAGCCATAAAAGGTTATGCTTCTATCAGTTGTTATTGAAGGCATAACATGAATTTCGTATTACAGTGGGTGGAGCAAGCTGCTGACCACAACCAAGAAGCTGTTGCTAAAGCATTACTGGGGGCAAGAGAGGCAATGCTCGAGATCAGAAGGCATATGCGCCAGATGGGAGAAGCTGCCGGTGTTCCAGTAAGCTATTTTGTTTACTGCTTTTTCTTTCCTTATAATTCCTAAAATGACCACAATAGTCCAACTCATAAGCTAATCAAGAAAATGGTCACCCGGGTCAGGTTGAAACTGCCATATCTTTTCTACTTTTATTTTCTCCTTCATGTCTATGCTTGAGATCCTCCTGGCCTGTGATTTTGCAGATAGAGCCAGAATCGCAGAACAAATTGTTGGATGTTACGATGAACATGGAAGGAGTTTTGCTGGCCGGGGTCCCCGGTGCAGGTGGGTTTGATGCAGTATTCGCTGTGACGTTGGGGAACTCTAGCAGCAGCAATCTTGCAGCAACCTGGAGCTCGCTCGATGTTCTAGCATTGCTAGTACGAGAAGACCCGTGTGGTGTTCGCCTAGAACGTGGTGATCCGAGAAGCAGTGAGATCACATCAGGTGTTTCTGCAATGAGCATCCAGTAGGGGGTATCTCCAGATTTGTTGTAGTGAAATGTATTCTATTGTTGGAATGAGAGAACTGAGCGAGAGATTGTGCAATACGAGGTTTAGTTTAGGTTGTTTATGGCTTAAACTGGAAGATGCAAAGACCCTTTTGGTCTGAATAATGTGGTAGTTTGGTTTGATAGGAGGAAGAGAATAATTAATGGAAGGAGTGGGGAGTTAAAAGACTTAATTTGTTCTTTACATTCGAATTCGATATGAACCAGATCAGATCATGCACTCACTCAAGAAACAAGCATTTGAGATTGGTATTACAACAGGAACAATGACATCAATTACAATTTAAGCAATTAGCCTTATTAACCCTTCCCTTTCCCTTTAGTACTAACCTTTTCCTCCCTAAACTAACAAGGCATAACACTACTTACCAAACCATATTTTATCACTCTTGCCTCACAAATGGAGATGAACTAACATCCGTACTATAACATGAATCCTCAGGCCCACCATAGTAATTACCCTCCTTCTCCTCATCCCACTTCAGCACCTCCCTCACGTACTTGAACCCATCGTCGACGGTCACCCGGTCCCTTGCCCTGGCCTGCCACACGAACAGCTTCTGCCCAGTAATCGACGCATAGAGGTCTTTGAACTTCATTGCCACGTAGTAGTACGCCTGCTGGGCCAGGGACTGTTGGTTGTGGTTGGGTCTCACCGGGCTGAAGTCCGAGAACCACTCGCACGTGCTGAGGTGGATCCGGTTTGCCTTCTCCTCGAACAGATCATACTTGTTGAGCACAAGCACGAATGGAGTGTCCTTGAAGCTAGGGTGGCGAACCATAGACTCGAACAGTTCCTTGGTCTGCATCATCTTGTTCTGGAGCAGTGACCCGCTGCCCTCTGATGGTGATAAGCTCACCTGGTCATTGTCGCTGAGGGAGACGCAGAACACTACAGCTCGTACGTCTTCGAACATTTCGACCCATTTGCAACCTTCGTTCATTCCCTTTGCATTCACCCGTATGAGTTGGTACCTAAAACAAGAGATCAGGATGCCGTGTGAAGATGTTGACATCATTGAGAAGATTAAGTAAAGAGGACAGCAAGAGGAGAAGATGATTACTTAGTGAGAGGAGGAGGAAGAGCTTCAAGATTATCAGTGTACACTTCGGACATTGGACTCCGATCATCGAGCGAAAATTCGATGAAAGCTAGACCATTTCCTTGGGTGACGCCTTCTGCATAGAGGATATCTCGCTCAGACGGTTCATATTCATTGCTGGAGACCTCGACTGCCTGAAAAATGAAACATTATATGGCAAATTTGTCATTCATCACAATCCATTGCGCCCTGGTTATTTGTTGCTGAAGCAAAGAGAGATTCTAACCCGGCTTAAGAAGTACTCTGCAACATCTGAAAGGAAGTGAAGTTCGTCTTTTCGCTTATATGTTTCCTGGATAGCGGGATCTTTCCACACCTCTTCGACTAATGGGGCATACTCACGTGTGGCTGCAGGGAAGAACGCGTCCAAATCTCCAGTGGCTATAATGTCAAGCAGCCAGTCAGAGAAATGCTTCAACCTTGGGTTGATGGAGTAGATGCACTGGTTGTTGGTTTCAACTGAGTCGGCTTCTCCACCTGAAAGAACAGTTGAAATGTAAATAACTAATAGGAGCCAGTTTTTTACATTGACTTTACCACCTATATATAAGTCTTACTAGCTTCAGAGTCCCGATCTTCAATCTCCACCTCTGCGAGTAACTCTTCCTCAAAGCGCTCTCGTCCATCGAGCAAGACGCTAAGATATCGATACATATTGCTCTGAATCATCAACTTGATATCTTGCAGCTCTTCTGCAGTGAACCTGTTTCCATACAAGAATTTAGCCTGCAAAAAATGACACCATCACTAACATAGTTCGATTTTCTATGTTTCAAAGTTGAGGGGACTAGGCTTCAACCTAGTTCCGCCACTGAACAGTAGCTCAAACTCACAGCAATAAACCAACTTGTGTACTTATTAATCGGAAAATATACTCTTGTTTCAACTTCACAAGAAACAACAAACATATTCAATTAAACAAAGCAAGCATTCCTCAGTGAAATAACAGAACTTCTACCTGCTTGAAAATCGTGCTGGTTCCTGATCCCGGGAGTCCGAGCAGAAGAAGCTTCTGGACTCTTTTCGGCTCGAGATAATTCGGAAGTGTAGTGTAAGTGCTAGGTTCATCTCTCTGACCAACGGGTTGACCATGAGGAACAGGCAAAGAGAAGAGTGTGCAGACAAACCGGGTTGATGCCTATCTAGCAAGAGGCAATCCACAACATTTCATATATGACCAAGTGATAGTACATAGTTTATCAAAATATTGTTAATATGAGTTTTCACACAAATATACCTTTTCCCAAATGTTTCCCCTTATATTATTCTGACCTTCCTCCTCATAACGGCCATCATCGTAGACCCAGAAATGAGTATCACGGGGACATTGCACCTTTGCCAGCTGGAGAACAAAGAAATTTTCATAACTAAAATCTTCAACATTTCTCTACTAAAATTCTCCTGGATCACAACCAATGATAATAATCAATCCTAAACCAGGACACCCCACTTCACAAATTAGAGAGAGACTACAGACCTTACAAGGTGACAGTTCAGCTATAGATTACTATCCATACTATGCAGCTATCTATCAAAAGAAAACACTTACTTTTAGCACCCTCAGCTCGAGCTTAGTAATTTCTCTGCCATTAATGTAAACTTCAGTGTTGCCATTGCTTGCATCAGGCATGAGTTTCCCAGTGAAGTTTAAGTTTGAACTAATGATTCTATCTGGTTTTTCTCCCTCCTGTAAAATGGAACAATGGTAGCTATATAAAGTCCTGCTCATCTTGATAAGTAATCAACCACAACTAGAAGAAACCTCTCACCTTTCCCCATTGACCAGACTCCTTGTCATACCAATATCTACCGGGCTTCAATTTCTTCGGTGGCAAAGGACATCCAAGTAATTCTGCCATCTCCTCTGGCTTCAAAGGAAACCCATTTACAATCAACTGCTCTGGCCTAAGCTGATTAGCAGAACATTCCTTTTCTGATTTCATAATGTGCTTAACTTCCAAAGCACTGAGCAATCTCGATAAGACACGAGAATGCCTCCCGAGCTTAAACCTCTTTGACTCATCAATCGGCTCACCTATACATGTCACACACTTACGTCCCTCGGGCATAGATCCCATTGCCCTAAGAACACAGTTGCTACAGTATTTTGCATCACAAACAAGGCATGACTCCTTCAATTCCCATTTCCCTTTTCCACACCGATAGCAAACTCTACTCCTTTTCTTCTTCTTTTCCTTTGACACCCCAACAACATACTCGGGGTAAACTGACCTATCGGTATCCGAGCCTTTGCTGTGGGTAGAGGTATCAACAGAATGGAACTTGACAACTGGCATTCGCCTCGCTTCATTGGCCACCACCTGATTGGGAGGGTTTCGAGCTGATGCAGGTGAAGCTGATGCTGAAGCTGAGGAAGAGTCGGGATTTTGGAGAACTGATACTACTGACTCCGAGCTTGCTGATGCCCGAGGGCTTTGGGAGGGGGAGTCTGTGACACGGGCAATGTAAGACACTGGCAAAGGTATTGGATTGATCACAGGCGGTCCTAGATTCACAGCTGATCCATTTGAGACTTCGAGCGGCTCAGCAGTTGGGATTCCATGGGAACTGACATCAAGAGGTTCAACCTTAGGGACCTCGTAAGGCATTGGAGGGCCAAGGTACTCTATAGCTATGGAGTAATCGAGCTTAGCCTCATCTTCAGGGAGAGAAGCACCTGGTGGAATCATTTTTCGTACCAGTTCCTTCCAGCTCTCTCCTCTATTTTGCTCCATTTCTCTCAAAATAAATTTCGGAACAGAATATGATATCTACCTCAGATTTTTCAGAGCTACCTACTCAAACTACACCGCATCCTTCATATCACCATAACATCAGCAGATAAAGAAGTAGAAATTGTACACCGAATTCAAGATGCAACCCGATTGGCAGAAGTCATGAGCTACCATTGATCAAACAAACATTTCTCAGGAACATTCACAAAATGACTCCTCTCTCATCTGTCTCCAGCCTTCAAAATGAGAAACACCAAGGGAAAGTCTAGAGATGATTAGGAAAACTATCCAGATCTTCTGAATAGAACCCCAAATTCAAGTGCTCGTCGACCGGTCAGCAGAATTTCTTCAAGCCAGAAAAATTCAACAGCACATCGGAAATACCACCTGAGAAGCAGTCAAAACAAACAAGGGAAGCATCCAAAGTTCAAGAGAGCTATGCGAGACAAAAATTCCAGTTGCCTTCTTCCTTAAATCTCTGTCCTACTCTATTTTTGTTTGATTTGTTCACAGTCCAAGCATCTGACTTTTCTCAACAGACCAACACCAAGCCACAAAGTCAATAATCAAAATTTGCAACCGTGGGATCCTTTGAAGGGGCCGGCCCGACGAAACTGTCAAAAACGGTCAGCAAAGCAATAAACAATGCAGACCAGAAAAACAAAGGAACCCTAGAGCTACATCAAGACTAATTCGATTTCAAAACCACCACATCCACGAAAGAAGATATGGATCAGAAAAAAGGAACCCATGAAAGGGAAGCTGAGAAAGATGGCTTTTTTAAGCCGTGTTTAAGAAAGACCACTGTGTGAAGACACAAAAAGAAAGGAAAGGCGCAAACTTTGTAAAGGGGATGGAAGAAGAAGATGGGGGAAATTGAGGATTATAAAAAAGATACCTGTGAGAAAGGGACAACACACGGTCGGATGAGAAGGCAAGCAGGCGGACAGATTTTTGAGGAAATCTATGATGAACAACCTGGTGAAGAACAAGAGGAATTGGGAGAAAGCAGAAATGACTAATGAGAGAAGGTTCGATTGGCTTGGGGGTAATGAAATGATGGGATGACACGATGAAATCTACTCACTCACTACTATTTCCTTGCTGAAGAGTTGAACAGTGCTCCCTTTTGGAGAAGAAAAAAGAGAAACGCAGACAAATGAATAAAACACGGAGAGGAAAAGGGAAAGATGGCGAAAAAGGTGAAAATGAATAAATGAAGCTCGTCGTTCTTCTCCCGCGAAGCTTATCTACCCTTTTTACAGTTTTAAAGTTTTACTCCTCCCTCTCCCTTTATGAATCAATCTGGGTTTTGGTCAAAAATTTAACCCTGTTTTACTTGCTTGCAAGACACTGCTAATCCTTAAAGCTTTGCAACTAGAAAAAGACAATGGTCGTTGGCTGAGCTGGAGCTGGTCGGCCCGACCAACGACATTGGTTTGGTTTTTTTTCTCAACATCTTCTTCGCTTGTTGCTGGCCATCTGTGGCTGCCTTGTGCCATCTTTACTTGTTATCCTAGAAGAACCAATTTTGAGGTCAAAATTATCAGCGGGTCTTCTCCTTTTTCTTTCATTTTCAACGAGTAATTAAGTAATTTGACACCGGTCAAAATTAAACTAAATTTTGATGAGTAATTTTGACTATTTTCCATTCCAAAATTTGCTCAACATTACAACCTTACCAATTTGGCAACTGCTGCAGGTGATAGCTTATTGGGTGGTGGGGCGGCCATTCCTATTGATTGCTTCAATGGTGGTTTAGTTGAAATGGGCCAAATCAAAGACCAGTAGTACCAACTACCAAGGAAGGATGTAATCCATTTCTTAGTAGTTGGATTTGGGGCATATTTCACCTACTTCTGGTATTTGTTTGAAGATGGTATAATACCAGTAAGCGGAATAATATTAAACAGTATAGCTGTAGTGTTAATCGTAACGGAATATCGAAACAGAAACATAAATCAACACAAAGACTTATGTGGTTTTCTCGTTCAGTATGAATGAGACTAGTCCACTCCTGAAACTATTGTATCCTCTTATTCAATTTAGCTTCAACAGGTATGGTTACATGCGCGCGCGCACACACATATATCGTCTAAAATAACACAACCCTAGCTACATAACATTCTCGGCCAACCTTAGCTATCCCATACTACCGAGCCTAAGTATGGGAGAGATGGGTTGAAGCCCAAGGTACATATAACTCGACAGCCTCGCCCAAATTGGCAAGGATCTCTCATCATCAATTTGCCAGAAAGATAGAAATGTCGACTGGCAGAGAAATACTTGGTCAAGAGATCAGCAATCTGGTCCTCATAAGTGAAGTAGAATAACCGAATAAGCGGAGAACACCATCCCGAACCTAGTCTAGTATGTATTGAAGATGACCCACAATGTGTTTTGTGCGATCATGAAGACTGGATTTGTCGCAATCTGAATCGCACTAGTATTGTCGACATAGAGTTGGAGAGGAAGATCATAATCAACCCCCGAGATCACCAAGTACCTGCCGTAGCCAGACAAGCTCTGAAGAGAGATCAGACATAACCCTGTACTCTGCCTCGGTGGAGGGCTTCGGAACCCAGTCCTGCTTCTTACAACGCCACAACATAAACAAGTCACCCCAAACGAACACACCTCTCAGTAATTGAATAAGCGGAGACTTATAGAGACTCAACAAGGGACCAGAATTAAACTCATAACCGGGATCAGAATGGACTACACAGACTGTCTTATCAAACTGAGCTTTAATCATGGCAAGAATTCAGCAGCAACATATAAAAGATTAGATTTCAACAGGAGAAATTATATCCAAGTGTATACTGAGTAGCATGATGAATGAATAGAGCAAAGTATTTATAGCCAAGGCATGAGGTAGCAAGGCTAGGCCCCTAGAGGTCGGTATGAATCAAGTGTAAAGGTTTAGAGATAGCAATAAACGCTAGAAGGAAAATGTATGCGTGTAATCTTAGCCTCAATGCAACTAGTACATGAAAAATCCGACAAAAACTGAGCAGGGGTATTATTTTCAAATAACTGTTTTTTAAACATGGTCAAAAGGCGACTAGAGTTTGGGGGTGCAACCAGCATGACATAATTTAAAAGTTTGATCATGAAGACTATAAAAAGCAGGAGAAAGATAAATCTGTGATGCTAAGATGGAGGATGTCAATGATGATGACGGACGAAGGTGCTCGATGTAAAAGATCCGACCCTTCTTGCTACTCCGACAAATCTCCCTCCCTGTCTTTTGATCCTTAAAAACACAGCCAGATGATGCAAACTTAACACGATAACTTTGATTGACTGTGGAGAGTTTTGTAGTCCGAATGTCCGATTGCTGCTGGTATGGTTCGGTACAAATAATCAAGATACTAGGTTTTTGTTGCCCGGGCTCTGCGTCGGGATGGGTGTGACAATTAAGCTTTTACAATTCCATTTTCCATGATTGACGTATTGAGGTACCATGATTGAGATGGATGATTGATTCAATATGTATATGAATTTAACGGTGGCAAAAAAATGAGCAATGATTATGAATACGAATACGAATTTCCTAATTGGGCTTTACAGCGTTGTTAAAAAGCATAAACAACCATACAATTCAATCAATGTGTCCACCTATTTTTCTTTCGGTATGTGAACCATTGTAGTGAGTACCAAATAGGCTTGCTAATCAACAACATAAACATACTACAAAAAAAAGGATAATGCACAAAACCAATGCGAGCACTACAACAATGAAAGTCAATGAACCACTCGCCACCTTTCATTCAACTGCCTCTCTCCCTTGAGTTCAGAATATAAGCAAAAACAAACATTCCATGTGCAAACACAGAGGAGGGATCAGATGGATGTGTTGAAGTAAAACTCTTCACTTAGCCTAGAGGCAAAGTCAATGCCAGATCAAGGCTTACTCATTAGTACTCTCGCCATATACCCAGGTTCTAAGTCGGATGGCAACTTGAGGAGAAAAATTACAGGCATAGTTAGCTCCCAATGTTTGTAGAAAATGACAATTAAAGGAAGAGAAAGACATAACGCCAAATGAGTCATACTGAGAGCAGGAGCAGTACAAAGAGGAATAAAATAGATGAGATTAGTTGCACACTAATCATGATGCAGGTAAAATCTAATGCTTAATATGCAGTAACATCTAATAAGACATCAACTATGGCTTGACACACAAAGGGTAGTTTACCAATGGTCGAGTTGGACCTTCCTGATTGAAAACATGTGAACAAACGATTCAACAGACAAACACAGCCAACGACCAGTTCCATCCCAACCAACCCGCAAACTCCGGTCAGAATCCAAAGAGCCCTCACCCAACTCCAGCCCACACAGAGACAACTTCCGGGTTATAACAGTACATTTCAGTCTGTGTGACCAGAATAGAATCTTCCATTGTTGCAAAACACAAGCGGGCAATTCCATTTTACTCCTTGCGTTGAGTTTTACCTGAAATCAATGACAGTAAATTACTATCAGCAAACCTAGATTCTTTAAGCTAATACCGAAAATAGCATGTGGATAGTCACTGCTTAATTAGAAACCAAATCCTTACAACCTACTGACAAATAAAAGAATGTTGCATACAATATTGATAATGTTTTACGCCAAAATGCAGAATGGACAGTAAGAAACTTTCAAGCTCTAGATAGCAAGAGAATCATAATAAGAATGGGACACTAATTTGTAACCTGCTCTTGAGTTTCCCTACCCCTTTACTGTCACAACCAATATCAATAGTGAATGTTGCAGGCACAACGAAATAAGCGGTTCAGGTCCAATATCAATATTGAATGTTGCGGTTGCGAATGGTCAACATAAGCATCGTATCTACATAAAAAGAACCTAAGCAGAACCATAACTGAGTTGATCCAATCTACAATGCATATTATTCCAGTTCTATCTCCTGCTGGTGAATCAGTGGACTGCCTACCGTTAACTAAGCAACCAAAATGTAATCCACGAAAGAATCCCAGGACAGCTGAACCATGACACCAAAATCACCTAAGGTTAAACATCCTATAGAAAACAAAAGCTGTGAAAAAAATTAATATATCTTCAGTTTTAGTTTCTGTAATAATAACTAAGACCATTTCTGACTCTAGTTGTGACCCATTTGCAGCACGAAGTAGAGAGGAGGACAGGAAGCAAAACTTGGTAGAAAAAATGAACAAAAAACAATACTAAAATGTAACCGAACTTGACTTGCTCACAGCTTTATTATAATATTCACAGATAGCATCCACTCATTTAAAGGAAATCCAATTAGTACCGGCAATCGATATGCCCCAGCAAGCCTGACATTAAGCTCCTTAAACTGTTGCTCCAACCTCTATCGTGAAATCCAAAGCACAGGATTGTTGTAAAAGGCGGCAAACAAAAGGTGTTTGAGCCCGATCGATTGGGGGTCGCTCGGATCCAAGGGGTTTGGGGTGTCAGGCATGACCTCGAGGAGGTAGGCGCCCCACCTCAGTAGATGTGGGAAAAGAGAAGCAAGAAGACGTGTATAGAGAGAAAGTAGAGAGAAGTTAGAGTAAAGAGTAGATAGATTGTCATTTATGAGGAGAGAACTCCTATTTATACACATCTGAGGGTTAGGTAGTGGTCTGGGCGCCTGCCAAGTCATAAATGCTGTGGTCGGGCGCCTCAGACCTTCTAACATTGTACATTGTACTTTTTGGCAGAGGGTGTCCCCTCATACTCTGTCTTTGCTTATGTTAGGTGCCTGGCTTTGTCCCTTGGCCTTGTCTCTTAACCTTGTCTTCTTATTCTGATGATGTAAGTCTCTAGGGTTTTGCCCCTATGTCTTGGCTTCTCTTGGACTCTTCTTGTAGACCTTCTCCAAGTATTATACTTTACCTTCATACCCTATCAATTGCCCCTTTGGCGTCGGTATGAGTATCATGGCGGCGTCAACATAAAGTGAGTGTTTCACTAACCTTGCTTTCTCGTCTTCTCAATCAAGTGCCAGCTCTCTTTCTTTACTTAATCGGCACCAGGCTCTTCCTTTCAAGCGGGTGCTTCATTCCCTTATTAATCTTCTGATCTGTTGAGCGCTTGTGCACCCGCGTGGGTGTGCTTGCTTCCAAATAAGATGTAGTAAAATGAGAAAGAATAAACACATGTCTTAAGCAACGAAGACTAACTAAAGAAGCAATCATGCCCCTTTTATCAAGCATCTGACGCTTGCATTCTTTCGTTCTTCATCAATTATTTCCCAAGTGATCACTTTTTCATCTTAGAGGATGCACCTACGCTCGTGTTAGAGGATTCAATCTATCTTGACAATCATATGAAATTGAAACAAGCTTGTCAGTTTTCCTTTGAACACCCTGTGTCTTGCCCATTTGAAACGAGCGCCTAGCGCTCTTTTCCCATTTTCTTCTTTTTGCCAAAAGATACCACTGATATTCAAATGTTTTCCATTCATTGTCTGAGATGCTACATTTTTCTTTCGATTACTTGTGCTCTTTTAGAAGAGTGCTTACTTCGATTCGTTGGCTAATCACTTGTCACCCAGCTTGTCGTTAGTTGCCCTAAGACCCAAACTCAACGAGGTATCTGGCGACTCGCTCCTTTACCGAGGTGTATGACCTTCAGTTGGGCGCCTGGCACCTCACTCCTTCAGTGAGGTGCCTGACCTTCAGTGGGGTGACTGGCGCCTCACTCCTTCGCTTATGTCTTTGGTAAGCATTTGTCATCCAGCTTGTCGTTTGTTGCCTTAAGACCCAAAGTCAACGAGGTGACTGGAGACTCGCTCATTTGCCAAGGTGTCTGACCTTCAGTTGGGCGCCTGGCACCTCACTCATTCAGCGAGGTGCCTGACCTTCAGTGGGGTGTCTGGCGCCTCAATCCTTCGGTTATGTCTTTGACTAAGCATTTGTCACCCAGCTTGTAGTTTGTTGCCTTAAGACTCAAAGTCAACGAGGTGCCTGGTGACTCGCTCATTTGCCGAGGTGCCTGACCTTCAGTTGGACGCCTGACACCACACTACTTCGACGAGGTGCCTGACCTTCAGTGAGGCGCCTGGTGACTCGCTCCTTTGTCAAGGTGCCTGGCCTTTGATACGGCGGCTGACACCTCACTCCTTTGGTGAGGTGCCTAGCGACTCGCTCCTTTGCCTAGGTGTCTGACATTTAGTTGGGCGCCTGTCACCTCACTCCTTCAGCGAGGCGCCTGACATCGTTCTCCTTCAGCGAGGTGTCTAACCTTCAGTGGGGCGCCTGGCACCTCACTCCTTCGGTGAGGTGCCTAACCTTCAGTGGGGCACATGGCGGCTTGCTCCTTTGTCGAGGTGTCTGACCTTTAGTTGGGCGTCTGACGCCTCACTCCTTCAGCAAGGTGTCTAACCTTCAGTTGGGTGCCTGGAGAATCGCTCCTTTGCCGACGCTACCCCCTTGCTTCAGGTAGCTTATTTCGTGCCTAATTTTTTATAAGCACTACCTTCCCTTCTTCCTAGGCGCCACCCTTTACAATTTTTGAATTAGGGAGTGCGCCACCATGTGTCCTCTTCTTCAATCGGGGGAGGCGCCTTCGCGCCCTTGTCTCTAAAATTATTGGTCCTTTTCAGGCAACGCTCCTTCCATTCGCTAGGCGCCTTCGGATCTCGCGTATGTGAGTTCTGCTTTGTTTTTCCTAGGCGCCACCCTTTACAATTTTTGAACTGGGGGTGGCGCCGTCGTTCGCCTTTTCTTCAATTGGGGGAGGCGCCTCTGCCTCCTCGTTTCTAAAATTATGTATTTTCTCAGGTGCCGTTCCTCCATTCGTTGGGCGCCTTCAGATCTCGCGTAGGTGAGTTCCGCTTTGTTCTTCCTAGGCGCCACCCTTTACAATTTTTGAACTAGGGGTGGCGTCGTCGTTCGCCTCTTCTTCAATTGGGGGAGGCGCCTCTGCCTTGTTTCTAAAATTATGTATTTTTTCTCAGGTGCCGTTCCTTCCATTAGCTTAGCGCTTCCGGAACTTGCGTAGGTAATCTCTGCTTAATCTTTCTTAAGCGACACCCTTGCGAAATTTTGAACCAGGGGCGGCGCCATCGTGTGCCTTTTCTTTAATTGAGGGAGGCGCCTCCCCGTCTTTGTTACAAGATTTTTCCATTTCTGAACTCTCTTGTTTGTTTGAGCGCCATCCTCCGAGCTTTTGTTAGGCGCCGTGTTTAAGTTTCTCATTTTCCCGACAGTTGCTCTATCAGATTGCTCTAACATACTTGCCCCTTGTTCTTTGTTGCTTGTTTTTTGATTAGGTTACCTCCTTCAGGAGACTCCGCGCGCCACCTCCTCCTTTGTTTGAACGCGCTCACCAGGTGTTTGTTTGTTTCCCTGCTCGAGCGGTGCTTCACCTTCTTTCGTATTATTCTTTATTTTTTATGTAGGTTTATCCGCTTCAAGGCGTCTAAGGCGCCTTTCCTCCTAAGGTTACAGGGCATAATAGCGGTTTTTTGCCCGGGCGTTATGTAACACCCTACCCTGTACGTATTACCTAATCATATTGTTCATACAATTGCAGCGGAATTCATCTCGGGTGTTACATTAATTATCAAAATTTACTCAAATAAAATTTCGACATGAATTACTCGCATAATGGGCTAACAGTTCTTGCAACTTATCCTGCAAAATAATTCATCACAAACATATATACTCAAAACCATATGCATTGGCTTTTGTTAGCCATAGTCACAGTTTCATACTACACAGCTGCATACTATACTGATACATGCTATAATCGTCACAACTTACATAATTACACAAATATACACATATCATCAACTTTCCACACCTGTGGATATCTCACACTACATTAGAAGCTAGTATGCACATGAAAAACGTTCTCAAAACATTTTTACAAAAAGGTGTGGATCACTGGCCAAAATCCCAAGTAGTCGTCCAAGCACAAAATAGTTGAAGACAATACCTCATCCTACCTTCAACTCCTCGCTCTGCCCACACCTAAGTACTTGCTACTGCTGATGATCTGCTTACACATAGCATAAGCAGTGGAAAAGAATAAAAGAGGGTCAGCTCATAGCTGAGTGAGATAATCATAGCATCGTGAGTTCATAACAGAGCATACCCCTACCATACATCTAGCAAACAAGCCAAAGCACTAGGATCAGACCTCAGGCATCCGACATCCCAATAGGCAAAAGACTCAACCACCTTGACTTATGCATATGCGTCTTATCATGTTTTACTTATAGGCGCCTGGCTACTCCCATGCTATTAACTCTCCCGGGAAACATACCCCACATCCCGTCGGATGTAGTCATACATACCCCAACATCCCGTCGGATGTGGTCATACATACCCCACACCACTATGGGTGTAGTCATACCCCGACACCGCTCTGGGTGTGGTCATATCTCGTAAGAAATCTTCAGTCACCACCACATGAAAGGTGTGACTATCATACATATCATAATAGAGTAATAGCATAGGGAGCCCTAATTACTATGTAGTTGACCATGAGACCACAACACTCATATTTGGTATCCTTATACATGATTCATATCTCATCTTGCTTAATCATAATTCATTACTTGCACATGTACTTGACCTGACCATAATTGGCTCAACATAGGTAAACCAGGAGTCGTATAATTGCACTTCATCGGGATAAACCCTCGTGCAAGTCATCCTCCTTAAATATCATAATATCACCATGAGATATATATTTCCCCACTTGTACATCCAAATACATCAATCATGAAATGTCATACCCAATCACCTTTTCGAACCATCATAAGGCATATTAACAGTCAAGCCCACAATTTGCAACATATACGAAATCATCAGCATAAACAAGGTTCATATCGATTAGGGCAAGTCAATAATATCATACAGCAATCCAGGGTTCAACATATAGCACAAAAGTTCATACACCCCTAATCATGCCATTCTAGTTCACCTAGGTCAATTCTAAGCATCAACATAATTATCGTGATACGACAAACCCGGTATGCCGTGCTAATCCCTCACCAGTTCTGGTCGTTCAAACACCGGTTCTAGCCTCCCGTACTAAAACGTCAATTTCACGAACGAACCCCGAATTAAAATCCGAGACTGTCCTAATATCCCCTGCAGTATCCCCGTCAATATTAGTTCTAGGCTCCGGGTCAAATTCTCGATAAAAACACATCAAACCTTGGCCAGAGCTAAATTCAGCGATTTGGACCCCCGACCCAAATAATTGCCAAAATTCAGGGATTAGAACTAGAGGATTGATTACCTCGCTGCAGGAAGCTCGTATATGAAATTTGGGCTCAATCCGGCTTCCGGATACTCTGAAACCCTAATTTGGCTTATCGGGAATTCAAGAAATTCCTGAACCAAAATCTTGTTTTAAAGCTCTAAATCGATAAATCACAATGTATAGATGAATTAGGCATTACTTACGGGATTTTTGGATCAGTAGAGCTCCAAAACTAAACTCTGCAAATTTCCACCGAGTTGGCTCTGTGTTCTCTGTTCCTCGTTTCGAAAATGGAAAGGGAAGGGAAATAGGTTCTGGCCAAATAATGACACGGGGGAGGGATTTATATATTAGTCTGTGACCGCTTATATATATATATATATATATTATATATATTATATATATAATACGTATACTTATCCGATCGATCGATAATCCGATTTTCGTCGAAATACTGTCAAAATGCTCGATTTTAATTCGTGAAATTTCTGGAAACCGTAATACGAGTTTTGTCAAAACGGGATGTTACACGTTACCTGCTTCGGCGTTGCACCCGATTCTCCTCAAAGACTCGCTTTTCTGCCCACCTCTCTCTCTTTGCCATGGCGTCTAATAATTCGCAGCCGTCAGCTTCTATGGGTGGCGCCTCCGCTCCCTCTAAAGAGAAAGCTAGAGCTTTGAGGGTGACATGTCCAGTGTGGAGCTCGAGCCTGAAACAAGCAAATTTCGAGCTACTGACGACCCCGACTACCGCGTTTTGCGATGGCGTGGCTGAAGTCTCCCCACGCTTACCCCTGAAAAGGAGGTGACGCGCTTAGGCTTCTCCTCGACGGAGGAAGCGAGTTTAAGTATCCCGTGCGTACCCTTGAAAAAGAGGTAACGCGTTTAGACTTCTCCTTGACGGAGGAAGCGGGTTTGGGTGACCCCTTCTGTCAAGGCAGGAATTTTTTGCGAGGGATATGGAAAAAATATCGCCTCTCATGGGGACTCGTAAAACGAGCGCCCGACACTCGGATAGCTCCCTCTAAAGGGAAAGCTAAAGCTTTGAGGGTGACATGTCCAGTGTGGAGCTCGAGCCTGAAACGGGAAAATTTCGAGCTACTGACGACCCCGACTACCGCGTTTTGCGATGGCGTGGCTGAAGTCTCCCCACGCGTACCCCTGAAAATGAGGTGACGCGTTTAGGCTTCTCCTCGACGGAGGAAGCGAGCTTGAGTATCCCGTGCGTACCCTTGAAAAAGAGGTAAAGCGTTTAGGCTTCTCCTTGACGGAGGAAGCGAGCTTAAGTATCCCGTGCGTACCCTTGAAAAAGAGGTAACGCGTTTAGGCTTCTCCTCGACGGAGGAAGCGGGTTTGGGTGACCCCTTCTTTCAAGGCAGGAATTTTTTGCGAGGGATATGGACAAAATATCGCCTCTCATGGGGACTCGTAAAACGAGCGCCCGACACTCGGATAAAAATCCACGTGTAAGCACTAGGGCTCTTCCGCTAGTCGCGGGTAAAGGCTTTGCCAAGATGAATATCTTGAGCAAGAATCGATTTCTCCTACGCGTACCCCTGAGAAGAAAGTAACGCGCTTAGGCTTCTCCTCGATGGAGGAAGCAAGTCCAGGAAGACTCCATTTGTTTCTCTATGATCACTTTCCGCAGTAGTGAATTTCCATTTCCTTTTTAGGAAGGCGGCGTCATCAGCTTTGAACGCTTCTTCTTCTGGTGAGGCGCCTACACCCTCCCGTGGGGAGTTCATGGGTGGCGCTTCGACCTCGTGCATCTTTCCTTTCAGGCGCCTTCTTTCATCTGGGGCTCCTTGGAGGTCGGGAGGCGCGTGGTCGTTTACTTTTGTCAATGTCGACAGTGCTGTCATGAATTGATCTAACTGCCCTTGTATGTTTGCCATTTGAAGCGCTTGCCTTTCTTGGAGCCTCGCTAGTTGACACCTCAGGCGCTCCGTGTCCTCTTCGCCTTCTGGTAGATCATCGTCATCGGATGGTTCCAAGCCTTGGACGGTGAGTGGTTGGGGATTGATCACTTCTCGACCAACAATTTGCATGAGAGGGGTCTTTGTTGGTGTCGTGCTCTTCTCTTCTCCTTTCTTTGAGATGGAGGCGTCTTTTGAAGTCATGATTGGCCTCACGGTGGGCGCCAATTGTTTGAGCCCGATCGACTGGGGCTCGCTCGGATCCAAGGGGTTTGGGGTGTCAGGCATGACCTCGAGGAGGCAGGCGCCCCACCTCAGTAGATGTGGGAAAAGAGAAGCAAGAAGACGTGTATAGAGAGAGAAAGTAGAGAGAAGTTAGAGTAAAGAGTAGATAGATTGTCATTTATGAGGAGAGAACTCCTATTTATACACATATGAGGGTTAGGTAGTGGTCCGGGCGCCTGCCAAGTCATAAATGATGTGGTCGGGCGCCTCAGACCTTCTGACACTGTACATTGTACTTTTTGGCAGAGGGTGTCCCCTCATACTCTGTCTTTGCTGATGTCAGGTGCCTGGCTTTGTCCCTTGTCCTTGTCTCTTAACCTTGTCTTCTTCTTCTGATGATGTAAGTCTCTAGGGTTTTGCCCCTATGTCTTGGCTTCTCTTGGACTCTTCTTGTAGACCTTCTCCAAGTATTATACTTTACCTTCATACCCTATCAAAAGGATTATGAGAAAAGCGAACTGGCAAAGATAATAGATGTCAAAGAAAGGGGAAGAAAAGAGACGGACTAGAGTCATCAGAAAGAGATTTAAACCTTTGATGAGGACTCTGCCACTACCTTTGTGGGGAGATAATGATAATCGTGTGGACCTCAATCACTCTGGTCTGGCAGCAAATCTATAAGTCAAGGGAAAAAGAAAGGGTTCAATATTAACATATCCTGAGAACAAAATAACAAAAAATGAGATATGAAACTCACCAGAACAGACATATTTGGATCACCAACACATTGAAAAGAGAACCCATGAGATAAAAAGAAACTTGGAAAAAGACGATGAACAAACCTGGAAAAAGGAATAAAGAAACCCATGTGATAGAAAGAAGAGAGAGAATGAATGCAGAAAATGAAATGCAAATAAAGAGGAATAGGTATTTCAAGATGACTTCCTTTGACTGAGAAAGAATACTGTACTACTCCCACCAAAGAGCTACGTGGGGCTTAATCCCACCAAGCAAACCATCAATCTCACCCTTCTGCTTCCCTGACCAAGCTTCTTCTATCCCCTCATATTTTCTTTTTTCCCTCTCTGCTTCTCTTATCAGTCCCCTCAATTATCTTTCCAGATTCAGAAAGTACGCCCAGTCTACATCATCCAGACATACCTCTCTTCTCCCCTCAGCCTCTGAAACTGGCACGACTCCCACCTCTCAATCAAAGACCCTGACCTTTCCCTAAGCCACTTGCAGAGCCACTGAGCAGCACATCTCCTTTCAATAAACCCTTTCAGTCCCTCATGGCCCACCATCTCTGAGTCTCCCACCCACAAAATCGTCGATTGCATGCAAAGGTCCTCTCAATCAAGCAACTGTGCAGGCTCCAGTGACTGAGAGGGCTCTGGTGACCAACGCGTTCGTGGACCACAACCGATCCAACAAACCAAAACAGCCAACGACCAAGTTCCATCCCAACGAACCCTCCAAACACTCGTCTGATTCCAATGAGCCCTCACCCAACTCCAGCCCACACAGAGCCAACTTCCGGGTTATAACAGTAGATCTCGATCACGTTGAGCAATAAAAACAATCTACGTGTACAGTACCAGCTCCTGCGGTGGAATTTCTTCTTTCAATTATTTGGATATCCATGCTGATAAAAGGAAGTACGGAAGAATAAAAGTTGGATGGGCTGGGCTAAAGCCCATAGAGATAAAGGAAGTTGGGCTGGCTGGATGTCCATAATTTAGCGCGATGGTGAAACTTAACAAACAGCTCTTCCTACTTCAGTCTTCAGCCTCGGCCGTTGTTGCCGCCACCGCAGACTGGCGAAGACAGCGTACGGGGAAAATGGGGAAAGGAGATGAACTGTGGGACGATTCTGCTCTTCTCAACGCTTTCGACGACGCCATTTCCAAGTACAAGGTCAAGATTCACTCTTTCCCTCTCTTTCTCCTTAATCTCTTTCATGTTCATCCTTTCAACGAACTTAACTTCTTTGGGTTTAATTCGGTATATATATTGAGTGCTGAGAGTTGAGCAATTCATGGGTTTATGGCCGGGGAAAATGGATGCTAGTTCGGAGCCGTAACTTAAATTTCTCAGCTTTTCGTCTACTAGTGTGGAAATTTTGAAGAAGTTTGAAGAAGTTTAAATGCCCATATCCAATGAATCACTTCCTGTTTTTGTTTTCCAGAAGTATCATGGCAAGAAAGGCCAGGAAAATTCAGCTGATAGTGGAAAAGGTTTAGCTGACAGTGTGGATCCTGCTCCTGTAGCGGATGAAGGCCTTGGATTAGTCAGGTAAGTTAAGCTACGCAAGTTTCATGCTTTAGTTTGTTATGAGAGCTTTCAGTAGACAGAAGTTAATCTGCAATGGAGTTATGGCTTTAAATTTGAATGTTGCTAGTTTTAATTCCTTTGCTCCCAAAAGCTCCATTTCCCCTCACTTCTCTCTCCCTTAACGTGATGCAAAATCAGGGAGGTGGAGGAAACTGGGAAAGTAGCATCACAACTTACAGCAGAGATCAATGACAGATTATGCATAGCACCATCGGATGAAAATTATTTCGCGTATCAACTTGGAGATGAACAAAACATAGACACTGCAAACGATGTAAACGCACCTACAGTTGGTGATCATTCTAATGTACAAGCCACGGAGGATTATAACGAGCTACTAAGCCAGTATTATGATCTGGAAGAGAAGAGGCAAAAGGTTCTAGAACAGCTTCAACAACTAGGAGGCTATTATTACCAAGATCCTGCTGAAGGTTCTAGTTCTGCTGCCCAGTTAGCTAACTGCTCCACTTCTCAAGACCATTCAGCCCCAGCAACAAACCAAACTCATGGCTCAGCTACCTGCATATATACCACTTGTTGCCCTTATGCCAGTCATTGTCCAGTAGTTTCATGCTGTGGTAGTAAGTTAGGCACCGACTCCACTGTGTTGACTTGTTGTGGAAAAGCTTGTCCTCTTGGGGAGAGTGACATGGTTAAAACAGCCATGGAAGCTGCTGAAAGAGCAATGTCATCTATAAAAGGGAAAAGCTCGGACGATAATTGTGTCAAAGGTATGGCCTTTTCCTAGAAAATAGAGACCTAAAGAATCTGTCACTTTTTCCTTTTGTCCTGGGGATACTAGTACATAATCTTCTTGTTTCTTGTCATGATGCTTGGAAAGATGCAATCTTGATGGAGGATGGAATCCTAGATTCCGATGTCTGTCGAGTTTGACAATTATACTAACACATGACACGTGATAGTGGTAAAGGGTTCGAGCTGTTGTTTAATCTGTAGTTCAATGTTGTCAAACGAGTTTGGCAAACCTCAAACTAGTTCTTGATTTCGAAAATATTGATTGATACTCCATAATAACATTTTCTGCTGTTTTAATTTCGGTGCTCGTTTCAGTTATGTACCATTTTTTTTGGGGTGCTCTCTCCACACAATTATTCAGCTCTGCCCTTCACGCAGATGAAGAAGAAGAGGGAACTGCACAAGGTCCTACTTCTGGAACAGATCTCTGTGATGTCTTGAATGCTTGGTATTCTGCTGGTTTTTTCACCGCCAAGTATGAGCTCAATCTTCCCTTCCACTCTTTTGTTTCCCTGACAGCAAGCATTATACAAGAATTTATCAAACACTCACTTTTCATAACTTTGCATTGAAATAGGTATCTTACAGAGCAATCCATGGCTAAGAAGTAGAGGTATTCCTGTTGGAGCAGAAGGAATACAGGCGATGTGTGATTGGTTGGCGATGGAACAAAAAATTTAATTTAGTGCAGGAAACAGAAGTTAGAGAGAAGTATGTAAACAAGATTTGAATAAATTTCTGAATGTACTAAACTATTTTCTGGTGAACTATGTACGAAATTTTGAGAATACTAGTACTTCGCTTGAATTAAGTTGAATTCTTTGTACAGTAGTTCAACAGTTCATCCATCCACCTTACATTTTTCTTCCCCAGCAGGGAGCAACTTTTATGGGTCAGTTCAGTTCCTTAGTTCCCTTCTTCGCTTCTCATATCTTGACTTTAGCAGCAGCTTCCTTGATCTGTTCGATCGTGAGCACACAAGAAACGTCATCATCTCCCACAGCATTGATCACCGCAAGTGCCACATCGTCAACACTGACTGGTTGCGCCAGTAGCACATCCGATGTCGAGGTAACGATTGGGATACCGAAATATTTAGGGATTGGGATACCGAAATTATTTAGGGAGTGAGATTGATTTTAAAATGTAATTTGGTATTCGAGATTTGGTATTGAGATACCCATACCATACCGATTTGCACCCCTACCTAAAAACAAACAATGATTTAGAATCTTGACGTACTTCATTATCCTTAAGTGCTAAGTGTAATGGCGAAGAAGAAGGAATGGCGGGAATTGCAGCTACCGCGCAATTGCAGTTCGCCGTCGACGCCATTTCCGGAGAGTTTCTTCCACTCGAGCTAACTGGCGGTAGCGAGTGGCACTGTGTAACTACGAATCTATAAAAATATTAAAAGGCTTTAAGATTTTGATCACTGCCACATCAGCCTTAAATGAAATCCATGCTCCCACGTCAGCACGCTAAAAAACAAAAACACAGTTCCGTTTTTTTTTTCTTTCAAATCCCTCAACAGTAGCAACGTTTGGTTTTTTACAGTAGCAACGTTTTTTTTTTTAAAGCAACCACTTCCTCCATTTTCTCCTCTTTCATTTAAGGCTTTGGCTTTTACAGTAGTACCCAATAAAAAATGTAAAACTTGACAGAGGGTGGGGTGGGACTTGGGAGGCTGGGAGCATTTTGGATAGATAATTTTATCTTTATTTTAATCTTAATAACATTTAAATTAGCATGTTTTCACTTTGTAATTCATATTATTTGCTTCTAAGGAATATGGTATCGAACCGAAGTATAGGGTAGTATAGTGGAGAGGAAAAGACCGTTTTGAATCGATGTTTACAGTGAATGTTCTCAGTCATTTCGTTTATGAATGTTTGGGGATATTCAAAAATATTATAATATATTTTGAATTTTAGGCACGAAAAAATCATAAACTACTTATTTTCTCAAAATAGACTTCCTAATTTCAAATTTGCTCAATTCTTATGCATTCACGTTAGCCTTATTATGGTGTCATTTTATTAATTTAAAGATCCTCTACAATAAAATTAACCAAACATATAAAAAGCATTAGTAGGGTTTTGAACCCACTAACTCCAAATCGTAGGGTATAGGTTGTTAAGGTATTAAACTATTGAGACAAACTTCATTTGATGATTTTAGTTTATTGATCACAACATGATTGGTTATTTGGTGCTATCATATTATCATATCTTATACGCAATACTTTCACTCTATCAATAAAACCAATCTTAGATAAATGTTACTTAAATTCAATAAATCTTATACTAAAAGTATATTTTTATGTTTAAAATAAAAAAATTATATCATAAATAAAATCAAAATAGTAATAAATTTAAATATTATATGAAATAATTAATAAAAATATCTACCCGGCCAATGGCCGGGTACAAAGCTAGTTACTAATTACTTAATTTAGAGCGAGTGAGCGAGCGCTGCAATGACTAGTATGCCCCTGTCCCCACTCCAGAGTCCAGAGTACTGACCTCAAACCCTCGGCTCTCGAGTGTTTCAGCTGCTGATAAGTTAGAATTCTCTGCATTTGTTGGATCTGATTGCTCGACTTTCCCCAAAGTCTTCTTCTTTCTTCGTCTCATTTCGCGGGTTGAGTTGGAAGAATGGGGCGATCCTCCACGGTGAAGGAGACGCAGGCTCTCTTCCAGTCCCTTCGCTCTGCTTACGCCGCAACTCCTAATAACCTCAAGGTTCTCGTTCTCTTTCTCTTTTCCCTATCTTTCAACTCTAATGTCTCGTCTTCATTTGTTGGTGGATGAATCTGTTCATCGTTTTATGTATTCCCGCCGTTTTCTTAGACCTTTGTTGTTGATCTTCCCGCTGCAGATCATCGATGTATACGTGGGATTTGCCGTACTCACCGCCGTAATCCAGGTACCCTTCTCTGATTCTCCAACCCCCATTGTTTGTTTCAAAGCGGCGAAATCCAAGTTCCTTGCTTTCTGTAGAAATCAGTTTCGGAATGACGAACTTTGGTTTACCCGATTGAATGCCGATTGGATGGGCCAGTTAGGGTGGATGAATTTATGAAATGAGGCAATTTGACCCAATTGCCTCATCTATGCAGAATTTCACAACATATACCCTCCTCTGCTCAATTCAAATTGATGCAAAATGAGTCTATTCAAATTGCCTCGACACAATTGCTTCATCCTCATTTTGTGTTTACAAATGAGACTATTCGACCCAATTGCTTCATATTTAACCAATCTGACCAAGTTGCCTCATCCAATTCTATCATCCAAACGACACATTAGTTCTTCCCCCCCTTGTACATTGTTTTAGCGTCTGTTATCCAACTTATTATGACGACGTTAGTTGTGTGCCATCTATTGTAAGTGGAGAGTATAATGTATGGAATCTTTTCTACTTTGACAATCTATTAGAATCCCTCTTTTTCCTGGATCAGAAGTTCCTTACTGGTATGAGGTATCCAAGATTAATTAGACTGCCTACATCCTGGAACATGCATCTCTCGTTTGCAGGACATTAAAATAGTTGGTTCTATACAAACGAAAGAACAGAGGTTCTGATTTCAGACCTGGACGTTAGGCTTCTTCCTTTCCTTCTTTACTTAGTTTGCTTAGTGAAGTTTTAACTGTGTTGTAGGTGGGAATTCTTAGAAGATTTTGATGCGAAGTGTTTGCCCATATTTGTTTAGGGTGAGATTGGATAGTTAGTTTTGGAATCTGTAATGGATGAAGCCAATTATTCTCATCTTCTACAAATTTAAGGCTTTTGTTGGCAGAAGATTTATTTGGTTAAAATGGATTCAAACTAGGTAACTTTTCATGCATGTTATGATTTGCTTAAACTTCTAACTGCGGTGTAGCGTGCTAATAGGCTAGACGTCAGAGTAGATGCAGTTGTTGCATAAGTTCTTATACTTTTTTTTCTTCGTTGAATTGTTCTTATACTTTATATGTTCAAGAGATTGGATAATTATCAGCTGTTTCTAGGTTGGACTGAGAGATTTGCTTGACGGATCGACTGTCTTATAACTTGTGTTTTGACAAACAGGTAGTGTACATGGCCGTTGTGGGGTCATTTCCTTTTAATTCTTTCCTCTCAGGGGTGCTTTCTTGCATAGGGACTGCAGTCCTTGCTGGTAAGTGAATTTTGACATTCCTTTTGCAATAGAGAGATTGAACTCAGGGCTAAACTGGTGTTCTTTCCACAGTGTGTCTGCGCATCCAAGTGAACAAGGACAACAAGGAGTTCAAGGTAAGATTGGAAAGAACAGTTCTCTTCTGTACTCCACTTATTTTCTAGAGCTCAGATTTTATCAAACCAAAACAATGGGTCGTTTTGGGTAATTAATGCATGCGTCCTTCGAACCAATTACAGGATGTGGCACCTGAGCGTGCTTTTGCTGATTTTATTCTCTGCAACTTGGTGCTTCATTTGGTGATCATGAACTTCATGGGCTGATGTGAGCTACCTGTAATTTCCTAGCATCTAGTTCCGAAACAAGGATGCAACATGTTACTGAAAACTGGTAGGCAAGATAGGAAATTTTCCATGTTAGTGCTAAGGTCTTAAGGATGTGAACCATGCACATTTCGGTTCTTTTGAGATTAGTTGAACATGGAGTTTATGGGAATGGGCCAAGCGCCTGACGCTCTTACGGATATTGTTGACATGATTGCTATCATACAATCTGCATTTATAGTTCGTGGATCTTTAAATTTGCGTATATCCATGGTAGTGCTTCATGACCAAATTCTCGAAGAATTAGATTCCAGAGCAGGTTATCCAAAAAAGGGGGTAACTATTTTGTTTTCGTTTGAATATGTTCTTCTATACAATTAGATTCAATTTAATAGGATGAATCAAAAAGGGCAATAGATGAATTGGATACATCATACAGGAAAAATGAAGGCATTTCTTTCCAGTATGTCCAGCTACTAAAGAATATGACAACCAACTGCAGCATGCCTCCGCTTTCTGCCTGTCTTTGTCTATATATGCTATGTCGAAATTCGGAGTACTCTATCATCAGCCAGCTATTGCAAGCAAGCTTTGCCTGACCACGGGAACAGAGCAAATTATGGAACCAAATATCCCAGTGAGAGCATATGCAATGGCACAGAAGGGCAGTGCTTCGGGTTCCTTGGCTGACAATGCTGCGGTTCCCAGTCCATGAGCACTGCAACAGAAGCTATGCTTATCAGCAAACTGGCATCATATCAAAGCACTATTTGCTTAGAATGTTCTCTCGGATTGTTTTTTCCTACTCACCTGGATGCAGTGGCAATTCCTCGAGCAATGGGATCACGTAACTGCAGTTTATCAAGCACTGCTTGCACGAAATTTGCTCCAATAAGACCAGTTACTACAACCACCGCTGCTGTTAGAGATGAATTGGCTCCTGCAGCAAAATGAAGAGAGAAACTTAAAGAGCTGGTTTGTCCTCATATATTGTGGGAGGATGTTCAGCTCGGGATAAGTTAAAACTGAAACTCTGCAGTGAAGCAAAGTGTCTATTTTTACCTTCAAACAGTGAAACTATGCTGAGGGCCAATGCAACAGTAATACATCTAGGAATAATAGAGATGGTCAAAGTCGGTTCTAGTTGGAGGAGACGCCCAGCAAAAGCTGTTGAATACAACGAGAACAGCGTTGCAATGGTGACCGAGGTAAATATTTCTGCTGCATGCCTCTTGACAAGCTGTAAAGATAGTACGAAAAGGTTTAGGCTCTCGTTTAGCCATAGAACGAATGCTGTGAACTAATAAGGCGAATAAGGAAAAGTCCTACATCTAGTTACCTTCCTCTGTTTGAACATTGAGAATGCAAAGGAAAGAATAACAGATCCCAAAAATCCCATTAGTACATCTCCAGCTCCAGGATTACTTGCTGCATTC